CCGCCCCCCTCACCACCTCCCCTCCGTCGGCCAACACCAGCCTCAGCGCGAACCCCCCCTCCGGCCCCCCGTCCCTCGCGACACCCGGGGCATCGCTCGGCGGGCGCGCGTCCCCCCACAAGACGTCCTCGGGGCCCTCGCTCTTCCAGCCCTACAGGGACGACCCTTAAGACTACTCAGGCGTCAAGAAACTCTTAGGCATTAAACTCCGGAGTGAAAATCCAGATCAAAACCAAAAATACGTTACATATAGATTAAAAAAGTAAATTAAAATAATAAAAAGATATTTACTGATTTAGAATACCTGTAGTTTTACCTCTGATCCGATTCCTTTCGCATCATATGAGGGCCGTCGGCTGACATGTTGCTATGTTGGTTTTAAACTGTATATAAGATACATAAAATATGCATACTTGCGTGCATGTTTTTTTTTTGTGTGTATGTGTGTGTTCATGTGTGTATTTTCAAGTTGTGCGTATGTACAAGTTCTCTCACATGGATTAAATTGACACCCTTCTAAAAACAATACTCACGTGTATGTACAACGTCAAATATCGGAAGGAAAACTAAAATACACTCAATGAGAGAAAAAAAAAATCCCTTACTTATAAAACATATTATACACTTGTCAGCCTTTGGCCTTTGTATGTCTAGATGTTCCTCTGGTTTACATTGTTAGTCAAGATTTGCAAAGGAGACAGTCTTCTCCGCGGGCCTTCGCTAAGCAGGCTTCGGCTATACCTCTAATTTGCCCTGTGATATTCTTATATAAATAGATGTATGTCTTGCTGTTAGATCCAACCTGTCTCACGGACTTTCTTGTCTTGTTACGTGAGACATGCTGTTTTTTTTTCTTGTAGGTATCATAGATGTTTATTCATAGTTATGTGGAAGCGCGGATGTGAGTCAGTTTAAGAAAAAAAAATATAAGATAAAAATTACTACAGCGTGATTTTATTTCCATTCTTTGTTTTGATAACTTCGTATGTGAACTTATACTCTGTCATAGTTGTTACATTTTTATGAGATCTGACCCAAAAAGATGAAAAAAATTGCCATACAAATTTATTATAACAAATTTCAGAATGACCGGCGTCACATAACATACATAATGCATATTTAAAATGATATTTCAATTTTCTTCATTGAAGCAATGAAAGAGCCACCTGGGAAACGCAGCTCCTAAAATTTGCTATTTCTGCCTCCTTATTCTGTTGTCATCATTCTTCCAAGTATGCGTCTTGAAAGCTTTTATAAATCATTACTACAAAAATGCAAATTGAATATGCCGAAAGTTTCTTACAAGCAAACTCCAATAGAGCTCATGGATCATCACCCCAATTATAAGACTGATTTTTTTTTTTTACAATTATGTTGCATAGTTCAGCTACACTGATTGTTTGCATCGCATTGTTAAGATCGTTCATAGTCTGCTAACGACCCAAACTGTTGATTTGACAGATAATTTCCAGTGATAATAATAACAACACAAGATTTTCAGCCATAGCCCAGTATACATATGAAGCATATGTGGAGTAAGAGCCATCTCATTGTAATAATATGTTGTACTCATAAAAGCGTGAAAATCAATAGCCTTTTGGGTAGCATATACACAGCTGTGACATATTTACCGGCGCATAGGTCGGCCCTTAACATTCGTATGTGCAATTCAGGTATGATCCTAAAAGTAAAGTAGCTCCACTTCCCCGGCTCTATTATATGGAAAGAAAAAATACAGTATATCATACACAATTCACAGACACTAGTCGCAAGTAAGCTCTAACACACAGAGCAAACTAGTTTAACCTAACCAATCCTGTGAGTTAAGTCATAGCTATTGTTAAAATCTCAACATTGTATAGACTTACTATACATGAGTTTCAATAAGGAGTAATTGCTGTGGGCTGCGAAAGTTATGGTCAGTGGTGTACAACGAGTGTTCGATTATCATTCGGAGTACTCGTTAACCCCTGGTTTTGGAGAGAGACTTCTGGGCTTCAAATGCCGGTCTATACGCCGGTATATGTGGTATATTCATATACAGAAAGTTAAGTAATGATACTTTAGTTCCTCGGAAAGGTTTGCAATTCGGCATTTATACATCATGGACAATGTGTATATAATGATGTACTTAAAACTAGTAGGTATGAATACAGTATTAACTGTAATAGCCGTGAGTAGAATATTTAGAATAAGAGTTGTCTTCTTCCATAACGTAGTTTACATACTGCAGAGTATTCACACACACACACACATGTGTATATGTATGTGTGTGTGTATATATACATATATATATATATATATATATATATATATATATATATATATATATATATATATTATATATACATATATATATATATATATATATATACATGTATATATATAATATATATATATATATATATATATATATATATATATATATATATATATACATATATATATACTGCATGTATATAAACTATAGAGCACAGTAACATTATGTTGTTGTGTAAGG